TCGTCCCAGAAGGAAGCCTCTTCTAACCATGAATGCCAACATGTATTGTGACATACTGAAGCAGAGCATGATCCATAGTTGTATACCAACATGATAATGACCCCAAACACACCTCTAAGACGAACACTGCCTTGCTAAAGAAGCTGAGGGTAAAGGTGATGGATTGGCCAAGCATGTCTCCAGACCTAAACCCTATTGAGCATCTGTGGGGCATCCTCAAACGGAAGGTGGAGGAACGCAAGGTCTCTAACATCCACCAGCTCCGTGATGTCGTCATGGAGGAGTGGAAGAGGACTCCAGTGGCAACCTGTGAAGCTCTGGTGAACTCCATGCCCAAGAGGGTTAAGGCAGTGCTGGAAAATAATGGTGGCCAGTCTGGCCACACAAAACATTGACACTTTGGGCCAAATTTGGATATTTTCACTTAGGGGTGTACTCACTTTTGTGGCCAGCGGTTTAGACATTAATGGCTGTGTGTTGAGTTATTTTGAGGGGACAGCAAATTTACACTGTTATACAAGCTGTACACTCACTTCTTTACATTGTAGCAAAATGTCATTTCTTCAGTGTTGTCACATGAAAAGATATAATAAAACATTTACAATATGAAACTTAACTCAGAACATTATAGATCATTTAACTTCAACATGACATGTTTTTAAGTTAAAAAAACTGTTTATGAGTGGTGAACCCCCATCTAATATAGGGTTCAGCCACTATGGAGAGGTATTTTATCACATATGACAGTGAGGTTGGTCTCCAGTCATTATTACAAAATCTAATTGCCAGTACGAGAACAATCCTGAATAACAAGTATAGCTTATACTTTTAATAAGATTCACACCAAGTTACTGACTGTTGACGTTATTATAAATTAGACTTCCTTAATGAAGCCACATTTAAGTGGATATAAAATGTGGTTCTTTGTGACCCGTTACCTCAAATCATTCCACAAGTTAAAGAAACTGCTCAAACAACAAAACAGATGTAAATGTTTTTACTAGTTGAAGGAATTCTCAACATTGCCATATAAAAGTAAAACTAAACATCAGGTTTTCATAGGCATATATGTCAGCACTAATGTAGATTAAAACACATACAGAATGGATACAGAATTATCAAGCCTGAAGTTTACTTTTTTTGAGGGAAGCCATTCAAGTTAGACTCCAAGAAAAAGGTAAATCTGGATTATGTAATAAAAAAATTTAACTCAAAGGCATTCACATCATATATAACTACTGTGTAATAACCCCTCAACATGACCTTAAATATTTACAAAGAAGAAAAAAAATTAACATAGCTGGGCATTACTATGAAACATTAACTTTAATCTACAGATTTCCTCTAACTTTCATAAGGATATTTAAAGCAAGGTCAAAAATGGAGGAATGACGCAGGATTTACTATACATCCTTCAAGAAAAAGGTAAATCTGGATTATGTAATAAAAAAATTTAACTCAAAGGCATTCACATCATATATAACTACTGTGTAATAACCCCTCAACATGACCTTAAATATTTACAAAGAAGAAGAAAAAATTAACATAGCTGGGCATTACTATGAAACATTAACTTTAATCTACAGATTTCCTCTAACTTTCATAAGGATATTTAAAGCAAGGTCAAAAATGGAGGAATGACGCAGGATTTACTATACATCCTTGTGAACTGTACTGTGGAACATCAACATCTCCAACAACCGCATTCATGCACATATGCCTATAGTTTCATACAGCTAGATTACATAAATTTAATTTACATCAGTCTGATTACTGTACAAAGAAAAATTTGTGAGCAGTTCACAGAACTGTAGAACAGAGCAGATTGTATGAACCTTAACAGACCAATTCTGAACTAGGGTAAAACACCAATATCATATTTCAAAGTGGATAAAAGCAGTTAGGCCAATGTAAAAACAATGTACCGTTTATCTTTACAAATAACGTTCAGAAAACTGAATGATTTTGAATAACCTGCATTGCAGGAAACGGAGTCATCAGTAATTCGACCTTCATTCATTTACTGAGCTTTGATAGGGAAAATTGGTTGGTGATTGGGACAGAAGAGATTCTGTTGAAGCAGCACCATGAGTCCTCTGATGTTCCTCCAAAAGATTTAGAAAAGCAAAGGCTTTGTCACACTCGGTGCATTCATAGACCACTTGTCCTACATGGGTTTCTTGATGCTTTTGCAAATGAGCAAACATGGTGAAGGATTTATAGCACATATCGCATCGGTATTCTCGGTTGTCCTCACTCAGGTTTTGATGTTCAGCATGTTTCCTTTTATGTTTTGCAAGATCATTTGCTGTAAGGTAGGTTCTACTGCATATTGGGCACTGGTGTTGCCTTTTTGCGTCATGCATTTTACGGTGAGATATAAGAGCCGGTTCTGTTTTAAAGGATTCTGAGCACACTTCACATTGGTAAGGGCGTTCACTGTGTATCTGCTGGTGCTGCGTAAGGTAACGTTTCTTTGTAAAGCCTTTTTTACAAACCAAGCACTTGAAAGGACGGGGATCCTCATGATGCTTTTTATGATGCTCCATTAAACTGCTATTGGAGGAGAACCGTCTTTTACAGATAGGACAAATAATGAAGTCTTCTCCAACATCAACCTCTTCCTCTTCATCACCCGCTTGAAAACGAGTGCCTGAACTCTGCTTCTTGGAGGAAGAGACAGATGGAGCTGAACGGTGCTTTTCTGAAAAGGTCACATTTCTATTACTACAGTGGTGTTTGCGGAAAGCATCACTTCCAAGAAAGCTGTCTCCACATTCTGTGCATTCATACTGAGTAGCAGCAGTCAAATGGCATTGTTCATGTTCATCAAGGTCTTTCTTAGTGGGAAAAGTCATATTACAAACACTGCACATGTGAGAATGAACAGAGAGGTGATTCGCAAGGTCCAAAGCTTGGTAAAAACTCTCTGGACATATGGGGCACTGGTAAATTTTGTCACGCTTCACAGGTTCCACACGGCTCATCTTTTCACTGGTAGGAAAGTTAGTGTCCTTGGAAGCTTTTTCATTCCCATGGCTTCGTAAATGAGTGAGAAAAAGGTGGTGGTGGGT